AAATGGGAAAAATGAGAGCGAAAAAAGAGAGAAACAAAATACAAAGAGAAACAAGAAAAAAAAAAATAAAAAAAAAAATGCAGCGACCTTCTGCTGATTTCTGTGCGCCTGGTATCTCAGATTTGAATTTAACGGTTTTCTGCCATTTGAGCGGTGGAAAGTGGAGGCAGAAAATGGGGAAAATGAGAGCGAAGAAAGAGATCAACGAAATACAAAGAGAAACAAGAAAAAAAGAGAATTTAAAAAAAGCAGCGACCTTCTGCTGATTTCTGTGCGCCTGGTATCTCAGATTTGAATTTAACGGTTTTCTGCCATTTGAGCGGTGGAAAGTGGCGGCAGAAAATGGGAAAAATGAGAGCGAAAAGAGAGATCAACGAAATACAAAGAGAAACAAGGAAAAAAAGAGAATTTAAAAAAAGCAGCGACCTTCTGCTGATTTCTGTGCGCCTGGTATCTCAGATTTGAATTTAACGGTTTTCTGCCATTTGAGCGGTGGAAAGTGGAGGCAGAAAATGGGGGAAAATGAGAGCGAAGAAAGAGATCAACGAAATACAAAGAGAAACAAGAAAAAAAGAGAATTTAAAAAAAGCAGCGACCTTCTGCTGATTTCTGTGCGCCTGGTATCTCAGATTTGAATTTAACGGTTTTCTGCCATTTGAGCGGTGGAAAGTGGAGGCAGAAAATGGGGAAAATGAGAGCGAAGAAAGAGATCAACGAAATACAAAGAGAAACAAGAAAAAAAGAGAATTTAAAAAAAGCAGCGACCTTCTGCTGATTTATGTGCGCCTGGTATCTCAGATTTGAATTGAACGGTTTTCTGCCATTTGAGCGGTGGAAAGTAAAGGCAGAAAATGAGAAAAGAGAGCAACGAAATACAGAGAAACAAGAAAAAAAAAGAAACAAGCAGCGACCACTCTTGGATGAAAATCAATGGCATAAATATTAAAATCTAAGTGAAAATATTAAAATTTCAGTGTTTTTTTTTTCGTTAGGTGTTGAAAAAAATGAAAAATAATTTACGAAACACAAGTACAACGGGAGCAAATGGATCGTGACTGAGCAGCGCGAGATCGAAGGGCACGAGAGAGAGAGCGAGCTAACTGTCCGCTGTTGGCAACACCGTCAACCGACTGTTAACTTTGCGATGTTAACAGCGCTGCTGACCTGAACACAGAGAAAACAGCTGTTTCGCAAAATATTTACAGCCCTTTATAAAAGGCCAAGTATCAGCAGTGTTCCAGCACAGAACTTGGCGCTTTACGTAACAACACCAAGATGTGGAAAATTTCTTTGCTATTGGGTGAGCATCTAGGAGTCGAGTCCACAGTTGCAGTAGAAGATACTAACTTAGTCAAGTCCTAGCTATCGGTTGCATTTGCGTGGCTAGCCAGACGATCATATCGCCGAGGGGCCATAGAATTTGCCAGCGCAAGAACACCAGATGTCTACACAATGAGGTCCGTCTGGGAACTTCCGACGATGTTACTGTTGGCTTTAACAACCAATGCCGTGGGAGTGATCCCAGTTGGCGCGATATCACCCGGTGCCAGTTGGCTGACGCCACCTGCCAATGTAAGTCTAAGAACGATAGCGCTATAGCGGCGTATATTATTAATGATATTTTATAATTGATCAATTTATCAAATTTATTTATGTATTTTCAGTGACTATAGTGCAGTTTAGGGCACTTTCCTGTGAAAATGTGGGAATAACTCTTCAGTCTGGTCCAACCAAGAACAGAACTCGTCGCACGGGACAATGGACGCGCCGTAATCGCCCTACTCTCCCTACTCTCCCTACTCTTCCTACTCTTCCTACTCTTCCTACTCTCCCTACTCTCCCTACTCTTCCTACTCTCCCTACTCTTCCTACTCTCCCTACTCTTGATCCGAACTGTCCTGACTGTACTCTCCCTACTCTCCCTACTCTTCCTACTCTTCCTACTCTCCCTACTCTGCCTACTCTCCCTACTCTTCCTACTCTGCCTACTCTTCCTACTCTTCCTACTCTCCCTTCTTACCGTACTTGACCGACTCGCCCCATACGCAGACCCCTCCCTTCCACATAACCCATCGAATAAAATATTTATGCAAAATAGAAAATCAGAAAACTCTGATGAATAAAAATAAACAACTCAATGCTGGCAAATACATATTTTGAAATTTTGTGTCATTAAACTTAAGTCTGAGTTCTTAGGTAACAGTTGAGAAACTGTCCACGAGGTGCTTTTATGGACATACATATAAAGTTGTGTTCAATGATATAGTAGTGCTGGGTTATATTAATTTAAAAAAATGAAAAAACAAAGCAAATTAATTTAAGTAAGCCACCATGCATTAGCTCAATTTAGATATCGAATAATTTGATGAAAGAAAGTTTTGGACATAGCGGTACTTTTGAAATTGATTTTTATCGGAAAAGATCGACGTTTTGCCATGGCCAACTGTCCAACTGGATCTTAATCTTATCGAAAGCGTATGGGGGAAGCCAATCCGTCAACCGGAGCAACGTTTTAGCAAGTTTTCAATTGAGTTTCGTTTTTTCTTTAAATCTTCTAAAAAAATACTACCATTTCATTGAACAACATATTTCATGGGTACTCGGCTTATGTCATGTAAAACAAGAATATGGAACTCGAATGCATGGATTTTTTAATTCTGACATTCTAGTCTATCTAAAAAGGTATAATTTGTTCAATTTGGATAGCTAGAAGTGTCTCAAAAAGAGTTTTGAAAGTGGTGAGGTGCGGCACTACTATTTCATTGAACACAACTGTACGTATTTACGGGAAGTTGTTTGCACAAGTGAAACGAATAGGATGCATTTCGGTTAGTATAAAACTGCTTGTGCATTGTTCGATATTTCTTACAAAATAGACAACAAATATTATCTGCTTACTTAAGCTAATTGATAATGATATTTTAAATGCAAATAAATGATGATAAAAAGCGGAATTTTCTCCTTGAAAACGTTTTCTTGGCTTGTGTTGCATGGTACAAATTAAATTTTTGCAACTGCTTACATCCTTGGTGGGCAAACTGGAATACTCATTGGGATAGGTATCAAAACTGGCTTTCGTTGTCTTATTCAGCGCCTCCTCTTCGGCACTCAGCAGGAAACGCTGTTTCATGAATCTATAGGTGGCCAAACAGCAGGCCACAGTCACGGCAGGCATAGCGATATCGACGCTCCATGTAAGACGACCCTCTGGAGTTGCCCGCACTCCAAGTCCATGTGGGAATGAGAAGGTTGGCATCTGCTGGACATTATGTGTACTTGAATGCAAGTCAAACTTAAAATAATATGTGTGTCAGTGTGATCAAATCAATGCAGAAATTATGCGCAGGCCAGTGATTCAAAATATATATATATATTATATATGTATATTAAACAACGTGGCATATAAAACCTATAAATTCCCGTTCTTATAAATACATCATATATGCCTCAAGTCTAAGTGTAACATTCTGTTGATTTTGGGTTTTTATTTTATTAAAAAATCCGAGTAATACATTTGAATACATAAATATCTTCGAGTACATCAATATAAGAAATATCTCCTGAAAACTTAAGCATCAATAACATCAATGTAGATTATTGTACTGAATACATGTGTACTATGTGTGTGTTTTATATACATATACGAGTATTGTGTATACGACACTCAGAATACAGATTAAATTACATGGTTCACGTGGGAGTTAATCATAAGCTAGTAGTTCCTGTTTCACTGTGCATCGTTGTAGGAGGTACACAAAATTCATTAAGGAAGCAGAAGGAGCGGAAAAACGATGAATGGAGAATAATAATAATGATAATTGAAGCTAAAGACCATAAAAAGCTATAAGAAGTCGAGTAAATAGAAATTCTAAAATGTATACAACAAACAGTCTAATTTATAAATGTGCATCGATGATCGATCTACCTATCGATGAGTGACAGGGCAAACAAAGAGAAGATTACCAAATACCAAAATCACAATATTTTAACATTCTTTTTACAGTTTGTATAAGTTTGACAGAGGTTAACTTATAAATAATACAATTAATGATAATGAACAAAACTCAGCAGGAGGCGTGGCAGTCAATTGGAAGACTTTAGCAAAATGAAATAGTTAAATTATGAAACTCATTTGATGGCGAATGATGAGCGAAGATCGAAGAGCGTTGGCAACATTCGAATTTAACCGTTTTCTGCCACGTGAGCGGTGGAAAGTAAAGGTAGAAAATAAAAGTGGAGGCGTAAAATGGGAAAAATTAGAGCGAAAAAAGAGATCAACGAAATACAGAGAGAAACAAGAAAAAAAGAGAAACAAGCAGCGACCACTCTTGGATGAAAATCAATGGCAAAAATATTAAAATCTAAGTGAAAATATTAAAATTCCAGTGCTTTTTTTCTTTAGGTGTTGAAAAAAATGAAAAATAATTTACGAAACACAAGTACAGCGAGAACCAAAACTCGGAAAGCTTTAATGGAAATGTTTGACAACGGGACTTTATTGTCTTTTTGCCATTTGATGCACCGTTGTTTCGGACTTCCTGATATTTTTAATAATGGAATCTTTTCTATACAGAGTTTTTGTAGGAGGGTGGATGGATGTTCGCTAGAAGGTTTCCAAAGTCCGTGGTTCCCAGTAAAGTAATCGGGGCGTGCTTCGATTTATATATATGTATATTTGTAGAAGTTGTGTTGATCGCTTGGCACTCGGAAAGCCGCTTGTAGGTTTGTTCGGTGGTGGAAACAGGCAAAGAAATAGCGCTGTCGCTCCGTACGGGGAGTAGAAGGCGAATAAATACTATGTATTTTGGCAGCTTAGTGCTAGCGTCAGTGCTGAAGAGTCGAGTGGATCTTGACTGAGCAGCGCGAGAGGGAAGGGCACGAGAGAGAGAGAGCGAGCTAACAGTAAGCTGTTGGCAACGCCGTCAAACGACTGTTAACTTTGCGATGTTAACAGCGCTGCTGACTTGAACACAGAGAAAACAGGTGCTTCGCAAAATATTTCCAGCCCTTTATAAAAGGCCAAGTATCAGCAGTGTTCCAGCACAGAACTTGATCTGGCGCTTTACTTAACAACACCAAGATGTGGAAAATTTCTTTGCTAATGGGTGAGCATCTAGGAGTCGAGTCCACAGTTGCAGTAGAAGATAGTAACTTATTCAAGTCCTAGCTATCGGTTGCATTTGCGTGGCTAGCCAGACGACCATATCGCCGCGGGGCCGTGAGATTTGCCAGCGCAAGAACACCAGATGTCTACACAATGAGGTCCGTCTGGGAACTTCCGACGATGTTACTGTTGGCTTTAACAACCAATGCCGTGGGAGTGATCCCAGTTGGCGCGATATCACCCGGTGCCAGTTGGCTGACGCCACCTGCCAATGTAAGTCTAAGAAAGATAGCGCTAAAGCGGCGTATATTATTAATGATATTCTATAATTGATCAATTTATCTAATTTTATGTATGTATTTTCAGTGACTATAGTGCAGTTTAGGACACCTTCCTGTGAAAATGTGAGAATAACTCTTCAGTCTGGTCCAACCAAGAACAGAACTCGTCGCACGGGACAATGGACGGGCCGTAATGGCCCTACTCTCCCTACTCTTCCTACTCTCCCTACTCTTCCTACACTCCCTACTCTTCCTACTCTCGATCCGAACTGTCCTGATTGTACTCTCCCTACTCTTCCTACTCTCCCTACTCTGCCTACTCTTCCTACTCTTCCTACTCTCCCTTCTTACTATACTTGACCGACTCGCCCCATTCGCCGACCCCTCCCTTGCACAGAACCCATCGAGTAAAATATTTATGCAAAATGGAAAATCTGGAAAATCTGGAAATTCAGGAAAGTCTGATGAATAAAAATAAACAACTCAATGCTGGCAAATACATATTTTGAAATTTTCTGTCATTAAACGTACGTCTGAGTTCTTAGGTAACAGTTGAGAAACTTTCCACGATTTATGGACATACATATACAGTTGTGTTCAATGAAATAGTAGTGCTGGGTTAAATTAATTTTTTAAAATGAAAAAACAAAGCAAATTAATTTAAATAAGCCACCATGCGTTAGCTCAAGTTAGATATCGAATAATTTGATGAAAGAAAGTTTTGGACATAGCGGTACTTTTGAAATTGATTTTTATCGGAAAAGATCGACGTTTTGCCATGGCCAACTGTCCAACTGGATCTTAATCTTATCGAAAGCGTATGGGGGAAGCCAATCCGTCAACCGGAGCAACGTTTTAGCAAGTTTTCAATTGAGTTTCGTTTTTTCTTTAAATCTTCTAAAAAAATACTACCATTTCATTGAACAACATATTTCATGGGTACTCGGCTTATGTCATGTAAAACAAGAATATGGAACTCGAATGCATGGATTTTTTAATTCTGACATTCTAGTCTATCTAAAAAGGTATAATTTGTTCAATTTGGATAGCTAGAAGTGTCTCAAAAAGAGTTTTGAAAGTGGTGAGGTGCGGCACTACTATTTCATTGAACACAACTGTACGTATTTACGGGAAGTTGTTTGCACAAGTTAAACGAATAGGATGCATTTCGGTTAGTATAAAACTGCTTGTGCATTGTTCGATATTTCTTACAAAATAGACAACAAATATTATCTGCTTACTTAAGCTAATTGATAATGATAATTTAAATGCAAATAAATGATAATAAAAAGCGGAATTTTCTCCTTGAAAACGTTTTCTTGGCTTGTGTTGCATGGTACAAATTAAATTTTTGCAACTGCTTACATCCTTGGTGGGCAAACTGGAATACTCATTGGAATAGGTATCAAAACTGGCTTTCGTTGTCTTATTCAGCGCCTCCTCTTCGGCACTCAGCAGGAAACGCTGTTTCATGAATCTATAGGTGGCCAAACAGCAGGCCACAGTCACGGCAGGCATAGCGATATCGACGCTCCATGTAAGACGACCCTCTGGAGTTGCCCGCACTCCAAGTCCATGTGGGAATGAGAAGGTTGGCATCTGCTGGACATTATGTGTACTTGAATGCAAGTCAAACTTAAAATAATATGTGTGTCAGTGTGATCAAATCAATGCAGAAATTATGCGCAGGCCAGTGATTCAAAATATATATATATATTATATATGTATATTAAACAACGTGGCATATAAAACCTATAAATTCGCGTTCTTATAAATACATCATATATGCCTCAAGTCTAAGTGTAACATTCTGTTGATTTTGGGTTTTTATTTTATTAAAAAATCCGAGTAATACATTTGAATACATAAATATCTTCGAGTACATCAATATAAGAAATATCTCCTGAAAACTTAAGCATCAATAACATCAATGTAGATTATTGTACTGAATACATGTGTACTATGTGTGTGTTTTATATACATATACGAGTATTGTGTATACGACACTCAGAATACAGATTAAATTACATGGTTCACGTGGGAGTTAATCATAAGCTAGTAGTTCCTGTTTCACTGTGCATCGTTGTAGGAGGTACACAAAATTCATTAAGGAAGCAGAAGGAGCGGAAAAACGATGAATGGAGAATAATAATAATGATAATTGAAGCTAAAGACCATAAAAAGCTATAAGAAGTCGAGTAAATAGAAATTCTAAAATGTATACAACAAACAGTCTAATTTATAAATGTGCATCGATGATCGATCTACCTATCGATGAGTGACAGGGCAAACAAAGAGAAGATTACCAAATACCAAAATCACAACATTTTAACATTCTTTTTACAGTTTGTATAAGTTTGACAGAGGTTAACTTATAAATAATACAATTAATGATAATGAACAAAACTCAGCAGGAGGCGTGGCAGTCAATTGGAAGACTTTAGCAAAATGAAATAGTTAAATTATGAAACTCATTTGATGGCAACATTCGAAATGGCGAGAATCTTTTTGTACGCATTTGACTATTTTTATTAAATATATATACATAGTCTCTATTATACGAATGTTTGACAGCCAAACAATGTACTCATTTAATTAAGTTCACGTGCACGCTGATGCGCTGAATCTCTTTTAACAAATTGTTATCGGGTATTTATCTTTTTTGAATTCAATCGATAGCACCATTTCATGGTAGCGAGCCTTTGGCAGACATCAATAATATACTAGATATGTCCGTTTCATGGTAGCGAGCTTTTGGCAGACATCAATAATATAATAGATATGTCTGTTTCCCATCGATAGTTCCATATCGAGGATATTTCTGATATCTGAGCAAAGCTTGTCGCCATGAAACATGAATTGAATAAAACGCTGTGGTTCTAAAATATTAAATAAATTTATTTATTTAACCAGTTTTCGATCGGAGATTTTTAGGCGTCAGGCGGTTTGGGTGTATCGGAACTTAATTGTGTTGCGACACAGTCAAAACTTCGAATCTCTAAATACGGGAAAAATATGGCCTGGTCAACAGTAGTGACTGCACATTATCTGCACTGTTATTTACTGGTTCCATCTTCTTTGAATATCGGGCATAAAAAAAACCTTTCTTTTTACTCCAATGCTCTCTTGTATATTTTATTTTAATTTTAATTTAAATCATCATATCAATTGTCAATAAATCCTCAGTTCCTGACACGTTGCATATTAGCAAGTTCAGCTATATCTGCACAGTTCAAGCGACGATTGGCTCCTACAGATACAAATAATTTCGAATACCAGAATAAAAACAGTTTGAAATTGACTTACCTAGACAGTTTAATCTGGTAAGCTCGCATCGGCTAATATCGCGCCAAACCCAGGTAGTACGAGTCTTACTCCTGCACTCCCTATTTAATGTGGGCAGGGTACGATCCACCCGATTGTTCAAACTCCTCGAACAACTTTCGCAAGCGCGTCGCAGTGCATCGCAGTCATCCCTCTGACTAGATATCATAGTCAGGCAGAGGACTAATAATGAGAAGAAGGATAATGCCAAAACTAATTGAATTGTTATACTGACTTACCGACAAATAAAGCCAAAACTATGCTGATATTCATTCTCTGTGTTTACTTGTGGCTGATGAGAACTACTCGTTCTGATAACTACTGAATACTACTAAAGCCGGACCCTTTATATACCTTTAGATATCAACCAAAATAAAGGTGTTCTTTCGAAAACATAAAAAACAAATTACGAAACACAAGTACAACGAGAACAAAAACTCGGAAAGCTTTAATGGAAATGTTTGACAACGCGACTTTATTGTCTTTTAGCCATTTGAATGCACCGTTGTTTCGTGCTTCCTGATATTCGTAATAATGGAATCTTTTCTATACAGAGAAAACAGGTGTTTCCCAAAATATTTCCAGCCCATTATAAAAGCCCAAGTATCAGCGGTATTCCAGCACAGAACTTGATCTGGCGCTTTACGTAACAACACCAAGATGTGGAAAATTTCTTTGCTATTGGGTGAGCATCTAGGAGTCGAGTCCACAGTTGCAGTAGAAGATACTAACTTATTCAAGTCCTAGCTATCGGTTGCATTTGCGTGGCTAGCCAGACGACCATATCGCCGCGGGGCCGTGAGATTTGTCAGCGCGAGAACACCAGATGTCTACGCAATCAGGCACGTCTGGGAACTTCCAACGATGTTACTGCTATCTTTAACAGCCAATGCCGAAGGAATAATCCCAGTTGGCGCGATATTACCCGGTGCCAGTTGGCTGATGCCACCTGTCAATGTAAGTCTACGAAAGATATAGCCGCTATAGCGGCGTATATTATTAATGATATTTTATAATTAATCAATTTATCTCATTTTATTTATGTATTTCCAGTGACTATAGTGCAGTGTAGGACACTCTCCTGTGAAAATGTGAGGAGAGCTCTTCAGTCTGGTCCAACCACGGACAGAACTCCTCGCCCTACTCGCACTCCTCGCCCTACTCGCACTCCTCGCCCCACGCGCACTACTCGCCCCACGCGCACTCCTCGCCCCACCCGCACCACTGGCAGACCCCTTCCTCCCACAGAATCCATCGAATAAAATATTCATGCAAAATGGAAAATCAGGAAAACTCTTATGAATAAAAATAAACACCTCAATGCTCTCTAATACATATTTTGAAATTTAATTGACATTAAACTTGAGTCGAGGTTTCTCAGGTGAGAGTTAAGAAACTTGCCAAAAGGTGCTGTTTGCCAAAATGTTTGTGCATATGTACATAGATATATACATGTACGCGAAAGTGTTTGCACAAGTGAAACGAATAGGATTAATTTCGATTAGTATAGAACTGCTTGTGCATCGTTCGATATTTCTTACAAGATGGACTACAAATAATGTCTGCTTACTTACGCAAATCAATTATAATAATAAGCTGAATTTTCTCCTGGGAAACGTTTCCTTGGCTTGTCTTGCATGGCATTCATTTTCCTCTCTCTAGTCTCTCCTTTGTTTGGTTTGATTATGTTATGTTATATTATGTCTTGCCAAGATCGTGGCCTTAAAAGGGAAAGGCGTCCAGGAGCTGAGCTTGCGACTCTCCGAGGAGATCTGCTCTGCATGTTGCAGTCTTCGTAGTCCAGCCGACAGCCAGGGCAGTCGAGTTGCACTCGCGTCGTCGCCTGCGTTGATAAATCCATGGAATCGTCAAGTTTCTGAAACGAGAAATTGGCAACCGATAAGGCAATTTATATATGTACACAAAACCCATTTCCGTTCTTATAAATACATCATATATGCCCTAAGTCTATGTGTAACATTCTGTTGATTTTTGTTTTTCTTTTATTAAACCTTCCGAGTAATACATTTGAATACATAAATATCTTCGATTACATCAATATAAGAAATATCTCCTGAAAACTTAAGCATAACATCAATGTAGATTATTGTATTGCATACATGTGTACTATGTGTGTGTTTTATATACATACATATACGAGTATTATGTATAAGACACTCAGAATACAGATTAAAGTACATGGTTCACGTGGGAGTTACTCATTAGCTAGTAGTTCCTGTTTCACTGTGCATCGTTGTAGGAGGTACAAAAAATTTCATTAAGGAAGCAGTTTTTCGTTGAAGATGATTGTGGCGATTGTGGCAAAGGAGCAAAAATGCCAACGTGTTACTTAAGCGTAGTAGATACGAATATCCCGGCTATGAGGCCTGAGTTTGTCAGGTCGGTTTACGGTTTACGGTCCTTAGCATTAACAAAGATTCCAGTATTTTGATTCCATTTCCATTTTTAAGCATTTGGTAGAGAGTCGTCAGCTTTGGCCATCAGCAGACTAGAACGCGGTGGTTCAGAGACCACTGCAACAACAACACGTGTCGAATTATTACAGCATACCCGGTCCGTCGGTTTCCCGGTTGCCAGACTTCTCAAAGAACATTGCATCCTGGGGGAACAGAAAAAGAAAAAGCCACATTAGTCATTAGTCAATTTTCGACACGATTCTCGGTTCTGACTCAGAGCGGGGCAAGCGGGGCCTAAACGAACAAAGCTGGACTTGTACTGGACTGGACTGGGTGCATTCAGACCTTACCTCAGCACCAACGAAGCCTGCCTCGCACCCGTTTGACAACCTTAAGCCGATAAAAGTGAACGCTGTACAACTGAGTTGTGGCAACAAGCCCATTCGATCTGTTAGTGCAGCAAGCCTTTGAGCCAGCAACGGAAACTACTTACAATCAAGAATGTGGCGCCCAGCAGAACCGCCTTCATACGCACATCCAGGTCCAGTGGGAAGCTGATGCCGAAGAAGTCCGCATCCGTGAAGATTTCGCGCGCCAGTCCAGACCACTGCTTCGAGATCTTTCCGATCTTCTCGCCAGTCAGCGAGACCACCTGGTGAGTGGAGAAAACAATAGAACAATTAGTAAAGAAAGCGGTAAAAATTGGATTAAAGTAAATCAAAACCCACATTGAACTCCACCTCGCCACAGAGGGAGAAGGTGCAGAAGGGACCCTCAATGCGCAGCACTGTGTCCCCGATGTGGTTGAGGATGCGGAAGGAGGGCGAGCAGATGGACCACTCCTGTTCAATGGTGCCGATAACGTTACCCGGCGGTGCGGATACTTCAATGCTTTGCAGGCAGCAGGGGAAGCAACAGGCCGAGCAGGCCAGGGGCCGGTGCATGTGGATCACCTCCTGGCGGTAGTTGTCGAACACCTTCATGTCGAAGGGACGGGACGGACCACAGCAGTTCCGCGTGCAGCAGTCGTTGTCTTCCACCGCATAGTATACCTTCTGGCCAAGCGCGTTCTTGATGGAGAACTTGTTGTTGGTCTCGAAGCCGGTGAAGGCCTCGAGCAGCTCCACCTTCTGCTTAACCAAAAGCTGGTCGACAGTCGTAAGGTATTCCAATCCGCGCGGACAGTTCGGAATTCCGGCTGGTATACTCATCCAGTCGCCTAGAATATAACAATCAATTAGAGTTAGTCTCGTCGTAATCTTCCACAGTGTATATGTAGTTCCAAATTGAATCAACGCGCACAAAAGGCATCTTGTTCATATCGTTCATGCCAGTGTGTCAATTGGTCAATGTCGCCACACAATTGCTGCCTTCTGTAATTGAAGGCCCCACAAAGGGAGGGACCAACCCGAGTTCAAGTATAACCTATTGTCCGCCTTCAAGGCACGTATCACGGCTTTTGTATCTGTATCTAATCTCTGCGATGAAGATAAGCTTTATGGCAAAATCTCATGTGTTAATTCTTGTATTTCATCACGACAGAATTATATCACACGAGTCCTACACTGGGGGAATGACGCCCCCCAAATGGGGTTCTAATTGATACTGATTCCCGCTCACCTTCTGTCCTCTTCGCTGATGTAATACTCGTATCCCTTTCGCTTGGCGGACTTGTTCAGGCGCATGGTGTGTCGCAGCTTCTTGGGCAGCGGTTTGTTGGCCTCGCGGCAGACCAGCTGCTTCAGCGTCTGCGATCTCGAGCAGAGGTGAGTGTACTTGCTGTAGAGCGTGTGCCATATGAAGCGTATCACCTTTGAGCCGCTGCTAACACCTGTTCCACCCCTCTGCTCGCAATGCTCGCCGCTCAAATCCAATGTGGAAATGTAATTTGAGGCAGCACCTGGCACTGCCACTGGCACTGGTACAGGGCCTACTGATTCTCCTGCGGTGGACATGGCGAACGCGATTTATTGACGACCACTTGCAAAGCTGCACAGAGATGAACTGAGGCGTCTGGCCCCGTCCGAGCACACAAGTTGACATCGACCGAGGTTGTGTGTGTGCGGAAAATCAACGTAGACTACATAGTCGAGCGTTTTAAATGCCGCTTTGTGTTACTTTATTGGTCCAATTAAGGCATCCCGATAAGCTTCGAGTTTCGAACGGACAGCAGAAGACACACACTGACAATGACAGCGGCAGGCAAACGCATCTCTGGGCCTGATAAGCGATCGTAAAACAAGAACCCGAATCTCTCAGCTAGGTAAATATTTACACGCGTCCTATTTTTCGTCGGCTTAGTGTTAGATCGAACACTTTGTTCTGTGGCGATTCCCCCACCTCAACATCTACGAGTGGCGTAGCTCATCGGAGTCTGGTCTGCCCGATGGGTTCATTGGATGCGGCCCCGGCGAGCGTTCTTTTAGCTGATTGGATGCAGTATCGCGAGTCGCGGTGCATTGACACGGCGGCACGTAAACAAACAGAGACGCGGCTTTCGTGATAACTTGCCTCCTGCTCCCATTCCGGGTCCCATGCCTGGCTGAGGCTGAGCGGGCGGCATTCCGGGCTGCGTCACAATGGGCTGCTGCGGTGGTCCGGCCGGTCCTGGGGGATATCCATAGGGCTGCAGTGGTCCCGCCGGTCCTGGTGGATAGCCAAATGCTTGCTGCGGCTGTCCCGCCGGCCCAGGCGGATAGCCAAAGGATTGCTGCGGTGGTGGACCTCCTCCGCCGCCGCCCACATACGGCGGCTGTCCTGCCCCATAAGGTGGCGCCTCTCCGTAGGGCGGCATCTGTGGCACTGGAGCGTAGCCTTGTGGATGCTGGCCCGCCGAAAAACCCTAAAAAAGATAAAGACTTGAGTAACAGATTTTCAATTGGTGGGCGTTCCGTGGAGTACTTTCGTGGCGTCTGTCTGCCTAAAATCTATTAATAATTTCTCCACTAATTCAGTTCTATTCACTTTAGTTGCAATTTCTGTACAAATGAAACGTGTTTTTCCTGTTCTGTTTGTTATTTCTGCTGGGGTGGCTTGACTTTAAACCTTTCTCTTCATCGTTCCGCTGACTTCTGACTAATATTTGCTGTTTTGTATAATTGCTGGAACTTTATGTGGGGTGGGGGCAGAACGAATTCTTCAACTTGATAAGCATACTACATGCAGATGGGGTAATACGTACGTATACAAATGTGGGACATGTCAAATAATGATTAATATTAAAAATTGCTTAAGTATGACGTCATGGTTGTGGCGTGTATACCGTACATTTCGCTTTAGCAACGCCCCCCACTCGGCCTGCACCCATTTGATGTGACTCACGTAATTCAATGGCGGCTGTCCCGGCGGCTGGTGATGCGGCGATGGAGCATACGGATTATTGGCTGGCGGGGGATATCCGTATCCCTCGGGTGGCGGTGCATTGGGCTGGTAACCAGCGCCAAAACCAGGCGGCACATAGCCCCCCTTATTCACGTTGCTGTTCATTGTCTCCTCTGATGCTCCTCTTGTGCGTTGTTCTTGCTGCCCTACGGCGGGGTTTTCCTTGTCAAGCCCCACACGCAATCGCAACAATGCTGATTTGTTTTGCACGCACTTTTAGTCAATTAATTATACTAGAAATATTTAATAATGTGTTTATTTATATGTGTATATATAGATTTAGAATTATGTGAAATTCTCCCTTTGACAATGGAACCTAACAATTCCCAATTACATATTTCCGTTGGGGGAACAAACGGTATATGGGATTTTTCCCAATTGTGTACAAATTGCATGGGAATTATAAATATCCAAATGGACTCACTTTAATCGCGATTTCAATCAGCTGTTTGTAGAGGTGTCAAACCATCGAGGGCACTATCGATAGTATCGATATTTTACTGCTAGTCTCTACTATCGACGGTTTTGCGACTATCATGATATTATCGAGCTACAGTCGTTGCGCTTTTGATATGTTTGGATTGGCTGCTATAAAATACGAAGACAAATTTGTAAACAAATCGACAGGTGGCATCTAATTTTTACAATGAAAAGTTCCTAAAAGGGGTTTCAATGGTTTTTTAATAATTATTTCAGTCCGATACTATTACGACAGTATCGATTGTTTTTTCAAAACATTCGACGTTGATATTCCTCGATATTGATATTCCGTTTAATATTACCAGCTAGCTGGGACTCTCAGCCCTAAACAAATAATTTTATCCGATAGATACATACATTTTTTAAGAGATTGGCAAGTTTTCAGAAGTCCTTTTTATTGGATTATGTACATATTAAGGTTCAAACAAAAACAGCATTAAACGAATTTGTCGTCGTTTTGTGGCGCTGCCAGACTCGTACAATTCGTAGTTGCTGCGGGCTGCCATAACGTGATATTTTGTGATATGAAATTCGTCAATTTTGATATTCAGTTTAATATTACTAGATAGTTGGCCCTCTCAGCCGTAAACAAATAATTTTATCCGATAGATACATAAATTTTGTTCAGGATCGGCTAGTTTTTAGAACTCTTTTTCATTGGATTGTTTACATATTAAGGTTCAAACAAAACCGGCCAAAGCATAAAACTTAAATGTTGACTAAATGTTATGTCAGTGTTGCTGGTCAACCAAGTATCTTCTATGCGTATGTACTTTTGTATACCTTATTTCTTTCAATGGGTGTGAAAAGTTTTGTTCCAAGCTCCAGTGAAACATTATTTATGATTTTATCCTAGATTGACATGTTTTTTACCTCTTAATGTATATGTTTTGTGTTTTATAAATACATTTATCCCGGTTCTGATATCTATTATTGGAACCCGTGAGCTGCCAAATTTCGTTAATATCTTGAAAACAGAGACTGAGTAGTTTCTGCATTAATTGGAGCCTGAAATTACAAACAATACCTCAAGTCCATAATATCCATTTTCCCAAGGTATGCAGATTGTTGCTCATTCCGTGCCAAAGTTGCACAGCAATGCTGCTAATTCATTTCCCCATGTTGCTGAAATTTTTCCCATACAAATCAAATGTATCATACGGGAAATTTTGCAAACTCTCCACGAATTGAGATCGAAAAATGTCAGTAATTTTGGTGCGCTAAATTGAGTTTGGCGGTCAATTTGAAATGTGTCTTAATATTTGGAAAAATAAATATTTCACTTGATTTGTTTTTTCGAGTGACCTCAGAGCTGTTTGTATTGAGTCAGCAGTGTGACCGCGGATTTATTGAACAAAATATACCGCCGGAACCTCAAAAAATATACCCAAACAGCAAAATATCGATATCGGAACGAACCACGAGCAGCGTGTTCTTTTCTAGCGGATAACAGATGGCGCTGTCATGCGATTTAATCGGAATTTTGAAAGCATATCCAATAACAGAAAACATTCTGGAAATAACGAAAAACAAAAACGTCCTTTTGCAAACTCAACGATCACAAATTGTAACAACTATTGGCCATTATTATTTAAAGAAAACCCTAAAATTAAGCAACGTAAATAGGGAAACACTCGTAAAAAGTATAATGGCCTTATTTCCAAAAGAGCAAACCTCGTACTGGAACAGAATGCTCACTACCTGTGCAAATAATATATCCAAGATGGCGAAATCAGCTGAGTTCAGCGAAACATATTTATTACATTGTAGCCCTAATAAAAAAAATTTTAAAAATGTATGGTTTATTGGTTTTGTTTGTGCATTAACGAACTACTCCGTCATAGTGCGGAGTTATTACTAATAAGATTGTGGCAAAAACTTTTGCAATAAAATTGCATTTGTTTTTGCTTATATATTCTTTTAAGCATGGGAGCAGCAGTGCATGCTTGACTACATTTTTATACTCTATACATGCTTTTTCCCCTAAGTATTGAAGCTTGTCGTTGCTGATACTGTCAAGCTTCAAGGGTTTGTGTGAACTTTCTACGATTTTTTCTATCACCGCCCTTATGTTTTCTATATAGATTTTATCTATACCGTCTTTAAAGACAAGGGCAGCGAAAATTTGCTTAAAATTATCCTTTGTGAATTCCATATTGTATAGCTTCTGTATTTTAGAATCATCTCTTGAATTTTTAGCCATTACGGAGCGACGGAACGGAACCGTTCATAAAATATTTTTTCGTTTTGTTTTGAAAAGCTGATGTTGCGTCGGGCGCGCGGGGTATTTCTTTCATTCTCTTTTAGGCTAGCCTTTGCCTCTGCTTTCGGCTTCGTTAATGCCTCGACCCGACCCGCGTCGAGTCGAGCGACAGAACACACCAAGAAAATATGAAGTCTTACGACGGGAATAGGTCCAGGGCCGGATTAGCAGTAACAGAAAAATTTTGTTGAAAAAACAAAACTCCAAATAATGAATAAAAAATATAAAAGCCACTGAAAACAATACAAAATAAAGGAGGGCCCCAGATTGATGGTTGCCCAGGGCCCGGTTGAGGGTTGATCCGGCCCTGAATAGGTCGCTACATCAGATAAGCCCTCAAAACAAAACGAAAAACCAATTCAAGCGGCCAACAATTGTAGAGCCCACACACAAGCACAGTATGTGTGAATACATGGCACACACACATTTACGTAACCTGGAAACGAAACTCAAAACAAACTCAAAACGGTTTCGGAAAATAAGAATTGATACAAATGTCTGTCGTGTCTGTTACCACACATACATTTGCAATTCTCAGCTTGCTTTCGCTTCCCGACATGAGTCATACATGCCGAACGGCCCAGCTCCCGACCCGAATGGCCTGTCTCAGCCTCACAGAGCCGAAGCGCTGGGAGCCGGGACAGAACACTCAGCTAGCGCCCCTTTCGTTGTATGAACTGGCACATCTATATACTGTATGGTTACTGATCGTACATAAATAAAATATTTCTTTAAAAATTGTCGCATAAAATTTTAAATTTATTTTCATCTTAAATATTTGCTTTAGCGAGTAATTGCTGAGAATTTTGGAGTGTTTATTAACAAAATAAGGGCAACAATACGGGTAACGTGATATAATTGGTTTTTTTTTAATTCCGTCATTTTAAATGGCAGTGATGTAGCATACATCATTATATTGGCCATATGAGTCGCTAGCAATCGGCCCAGCATTTCGAACTTGCTTGAGTCAATACAGTTTATTTGTAATGGTGGTCTGCCGGCAGTCGCGAAGTATTTTTGTATCATTTTCTGTATGCCATCCACCTCCGTTTTATTGCTTGGGTTTGTCGGCGTTCCTTTAAATATAGCTGACCAATTGTCTGCTGTAAAAATCAGCTCGTACAACTTCTGAACTGTGACATCCGTCTTGAGTACGAATGAAGGAATATTCCGCTGATGGAAGATATCCCATATTACAGGGAATTGCTTTGATGTAGCAACGTGTAGGGCGTCAAAATTTGATTTGTTGTGATCCGACACAATTGCCATCAAATTGTCGGATAAGCCCCAATCGACGATTGTTTTTAAAACGATATCAAGGGCTGTTTTAATTTTATCGCTTCCAAGCTTTGATTGTCTTTTTCTAATTCTGTCAATATAAATTGGGACCTGTTGCATAGAAAATTAATTGATTATTTTAAAAATTTGATACATTAACATTTACTGAATAAAATTGTTACTTTCCACTCGGATATAAACAAATCTGAAATTACTGCCGTCAATGTTAGACGCAGAAAATGCCAGTGCCCTCATTTTAACGTCTCCTTCATCGCTGGGTGTCCTAAGGTAGGGCTGCAAATATTTAAAAATTATTAGTGTGTATTCTTTACCTTAGTTAAATAAACACTTACCATATGCTTTAGATGGTATTCGTCAAAATGGATAACGAAGGGATGATTAACAAACACAGTTAACGAGGGTAGTAAGTTTATCTTTCCATTCATCATCTCATCCAAATGTGCCGGGCGCTCCAAAAATTGTATGTTTCTTTTCAACCTTCCCACGTCTATTTTGTTATCAAACGTTGCAAAAAGATATAGCATATGATCAGTTATAACGGGGTTAACTATGTTGTCCAAATCTTCGGGATCTTCTGCCGCTGTTGTTGAGGACGCTTGTCCCGCGAAAGAATATGTCGCCGCTGCGGCGGCCGCCGACGTGGAAGGCAGGATGTTGATAACTGTTGAACTATGCATCAAATTTTTTATAAATAACAACATTCAAACACACACCTGTTGGTTGCGAGGACCCCGAAGTGGGCGTGCTGCTTCCTAAGCTGGGCTTGTGATGACGTTCTGGCGGCGTCAATTTGTTGGATTCCCCAGCGACAAAGTTCATTCAAAAAACATATAGATGCGCGAAGAAATTTCGACCTGTACACCTACAGGTCATGATAATAGGTACATGGAAATCGTGGTAATTTGTTCTGAAATATCCCGAATTTTTTTGAATGCAGGGCTGCAAATTGTTTATATTTTGAAAGATATTTATACATAAATATATTTAATTTTCCGCATGTTAAGTGTCAAACGCAAGGGTATATAAACTTCGGCGCGCTGATATTTGCTTCCTTACTGGCTTAAACTTTCAAGTACTTTCCGCTCTGAGACAATAAATTGTATTTGATAATCTTTTGCTGCAAGAACACACTTGAATCCCTTGTTTAACTCTGTTTTAAGAGGAAATAAATGTTGAGCATATTTTACACGACAGAAAAAAAAACCATTTTGTATGCCACACACACACACGCACCCACCTTCGCGCACACATACAACCACCACAGCCCACATTTTTTTCAAATGAGATGCTGGGCAAATTGCGGCGGAGATAGAGTGCGAGGGAGAGCGAACTAGCGGGCGAGAGGGTGGCGTAGTTAGCGCATAAAAAATGGCGGTTTCCGACGCAAAACGCAAAACAGATATGGAGAAAAAAAATCCACTCCCTGACGTGGGGCGGATCGGGTGTTCTGCCAGGGTGAGAGACGCTGCTGCTGTTGCGGCAGAGCGACAGAGAGAGGGCGAGGTAAAGGCAGAGAGCGAACCGCACAAAAAATGCTAAAAAATGTGTGCATAGAAAAAAATTGCGAGCAGAATCCACCCCGTGGCAGAGAGAGAGAGAGTGAGAGAGAGAGAGTGAGAGAGAGAGAGCTGGGGTCGTGGACAGCCAGCAGACGTCACTCACTCAAACACACACCACACTACAAACACTACACACACTGCAGTAAATTACCAATACAAGTGCAACGCGAATCAGCGGGACTCCCCCACGCAGAATGGCAGCCAGACCCGAAGCTTGTTGAGGTCCTGGAGCAGATTAAGTCGCTGGGGCTAGGGCCGCTCCAGGGTCACGGCAAGGAATGATGAAATGTGCGCCTAATGCGCCACATAACGCGATATTCATGTACATATCTCTGGGGGACAGAGTGGTTGGGCAACCAACTAGTTAGTGCAGGCGGGGATAGCTGTATACGTTCAGCACATTCAATTAGATGACTGAAACAAAGCAAGCAGATGAGACGGAGACTAAGAATGTGTACATGCCCCAGACTCATATCGAAAGTATAGTAGGAAAAAGTGATCCATCGCTGCAAAAAGAATCATTAACGGATGCTTACTGTGGCGCGCCGATATTTATATTTTCTCTACAGTTTATTACAGAAAGAATCGCCAGCCAATCGACTGACTAGAGAACTAAACGTCTCTCATTAGCCACGACGAGACGTGATGTGACGTCCTTTGAGAACGAAAGGACCAAGGGCTGCTTTTTGGCTATCGCAGAGCTGATCTAATTTATGTGCCCGACCCTCGGACTGAAGCCAAAAGCTGCCGCCGATTGTGCGAACGGCCACAATAAATCAAGTTTTAAAGATTCCATCTAATGCCGCGATCGATCAAAACCAAACCCCTTTGGCACGCGGCCAACGACATGAAACCATCTGCTCGTTCGTGGAGCCACGAAATAAAATAACTAAACATGCTGGTAATAGAGTTATCAGTCGAGAGATGGCATAGAGTCGACAGATGCTAGTAGGCTATAGAAATAACATAAAGAACAGTGGTGCATGACTCTGATCAACGGTCTTCCGGCTCCAGAAATATAATGGAACAATTTGACTACTTAATTTACATATTGGTAAATGTTACAAACAATAATATTAAAGGAAATTGACCCAAGGCAAGGCATCCGTTTTGATCCGAGAATTCGCAAGAAAACAAGAAATTTGTCAAGTACGAAGAAGATTGCCAAAGCAAAGCGTTAAGCGATTGTTTGTGCTGATGGTTTTGATCGTTTTTCATTCTTGGACTCGGTTGCGGGACTCGACTAATACTTCTTCGACGGTTGGCAGTGGATCAACTAGGGTATAGATGCCGCTATTCTTCCGAATATAGCCGCAGTTAACCCCAATAGAGAGCTTCTCGTGAAAAGTGTGCCAAAAGTCACGGTCTTCGCGCTTGGCCTGCGGATGTAAGGGATACGGATACCTTGCAATAGATCTACCAAAGGAGTACTCACATTATAGTGGGACATCACATGCTTGGCGATCTCTTCGATGGTGGCAGGTCGATTGATCCGCAACAGCATTGCAATGATTTGAACGCTGTCCTTGGTGTGTCGGGGTTTCGGAAGGTTGCTCATCGTGTTGCTATACAAGTACAATAATGAGAATATTACAGGTTCCACCATTGACTGGGAATGCAAAGGCTTTGTCTGAAGTATTAAATCTATATGAGAGCCGGATGGAGAGCTCGGTGTGGAGACCGCTCTCCCAGCGTTATCAGAGAGTCGCAACAGCGAGCGCGTAGAACGAGCGGCAATGCCCAAAACAAGTAAATAAAACGTTTCGAACAGCGTATCCGAAATCCCCTCAACAAAATCCCCATTAAGTCGGGTCAGTGAGGCGTGGGAACATATCCCCCAGCAGCAGCATCAGCGGCAGCAGCAGCAGACACAAAATGTGTCAAGCAGCAACCTGGGGCAACAACAGCAACAGCAGCAGCAACTGCAACTGCATTTGGTCAATGACCAGCTGGGGGGGGGGGCGACCGATTGACCAGATGGATGACCCTCGCCTACAGAACGGAAGGGGATCAGGTGCACACACTCAGCAACAGCATCAGTGTGTGTGTGTGCGTGTGTGTCGCGATTACCCAAAACGAATGACAGGAAATGCAGCAACAGAACCAGACACAGAGAGGCGAGGCGAGGAACGCCACCTGCCAGCTGCCACCGAATCAAACTCCAACCCGAAACCGAATGCGTGATTGCCCAAGCAACTTCACCTTGCCGTGGGTCAGTAACGGCTGCGTGACACCAACACACCGAAATGGCAATGGCGGTGGCAAGGGAAGCGGTGAAAGAGCGAAAGTGTTTTCTAGTTTAATTGCTTAATTACGATCTGGCCCGGACACTTGCCGGGCAGCGGCGGATGGAAGGTCAGGTCAGAGCTGCTCGTCGGAAAAACTGGGTCAAAACGGAGCACGAAAAAGGGTTACACACAAAAATCTTAATGAGTTTTCATTTGGCCTTTCCTTTCCCGCTTGCTTCGTGCCGTGGAACGTTTTTTAATTAAGAGCACAATGACCCGACCCAACCCGACTCGACTCGACTCTGGTGACCCTTTCTCGGCCAGGACAGAGTGTGCGATGGGCTGCGGTGGGTGTGGGGTGGGGTGAGGCTTATGCTAATGAGTCAGGCACGCACTTTGCTCGGTGGGTCTGCTGGCAAATTAATTATCAAGTGTTGAACTTGAACTTGTCTGATGACTGATGTCTGACCATTTTTAAAGAGAACTCTTATCGATTTTCGCGCAGGCCAGAAGAGGAGCGAACGGGTTTGAGGGACCGAGACGGGGACCGGGACCGGGACCTTGTCTGGCGCGCCACATGTCAGGGCCAAAGATTTAAATCAGAGTCGACAGCAGCAGCAGCAGAACTGGTCTCGGGTTTTGGGCTATTTTTTGTGCCTCTTTCTTTCAGCTTCAGTTTCGGTTTCGGTTTCGGTTTTTGGTTTATTTTGCCCGAACCCCTTCTTTGATTTCTCGTTGCTTTGTCCGCGCCGAGTGAGCGGCTCAGCCTCAACTCAACCCTTTGGCAGGACTTTGGGCAGGACTTTGACAGGATGCTGCTGGTGGCCGCTCTGGCCTCTGGCCGCTACACGGTAATTGCTTATTTAAGTGCGCGCCTTCATCCTTTTACGGGATGCCAGGATGTGCATACTGAACTGAACTGAACAGAGTAAAAAAAAAGCAACGCGAAACAAAAGCAAAACCAAATGCCCTGTGTAATTACTGGATGAGAGGGAACCGACCGTGGAAGGGCGGGGTTGAGTAGCCTCAACCGGGTAAGGCAGGGCAGGGCTGGGCAGGGCAGGGCAGCTGTCTAGCCGGACGAGGACGAGGACCAGCACCAGTGCGAGTGCGAGTACAAGGAACATCTCGCAATGAACTGCAAATCAAACGGGGGGAGGCAATGGGAACGACGGGGCCACCATGCGTGCATATTAAAAATGTTTTCAGTTGAAAATTTTCGGCTGCCTGCTTTGGTCCAGCCTGTGATGGTGGGGTAGGGGCGGAGAGGCAGCTAGGAGATCAGGGGCAAAGGGTTAAGGCCCACTCCGGGCAGCAGCTTTTGTTGTGCAGCCAACTGTGAGGTCCTGGTGCTGGTGCTGGTGCTGGTGCTGGTCCTGGTCCGGTGCTGATTCCCGTACGAGTGTGAACGTGTGCGCGAGGCTGGGGTGCAGCTGTCGCTATCTAGTCTGTCCTATCGCCATCTCAAAACATCCACACAGGGGGTCAGGGGTCAGCTTAGTTTAGCTTAGCTTAGCAAGGGGTTGATCGATCTGCCGTGTGCCCTCTCTGGGGTTTGGTTTTTCACAGACTATCGCGCTTCGGTTTGGCCTGGGCCTGGACCTGGACCTGGGCCTCGACTTCGACAGCTGGCCCCGGCATAACAACTTTTGTTAACAACTCAATAAGCATAATAACAATTGCAGAAAAAGTTGCAACTCGCAAGACTCGCCAGATTCCGTCTGTCCATAAATTATAACGAGTTGTCTTTGGTTGGTTGGTTGTTTGGCTTGATTGGTCCGCTGGCCGCTGGGTTGGGTTGGGTTGGCTTGGTGGGCATGAACAAACATGCGGCCAGACATGTTGGGGCATTTTTCAATTTTAATGGCACCAAATGAGGGTAGACGACGACATGCCTCGGTTAGAACTTACGTACCCAGCAGCAACAGGCCACAGAGTACAGAGCACAGACCCCAGAGATACAGAGACACACAGACACAGAGCAAAGAAATATCCATACAACTGACACAAGAAATAACTAAAATTATTGTCAATTAATTACAAACTGTGCGCTGGGGCCAGGTCTCTGACGCGTTTGACAGACGGTAGGAGTTGCACCATAAATAGCAGGCGTGCGACGTTCTCTATTCGCATTCAGGTGCCGATCGGCTCCCAGGGGTGTAGTTCGTAGTAGGGGCATATTCAGAGCTAGCATTTGCAATTAAAAGAATTTAATAAATTTAATTTTAATGAATCCAAGCCCTGTACATTCCCATCCCCCCTTTTAAGGAGACGCCTCTGACCACTCAACACTTGCCTCACTCCCAAGCGCAGCTTCGCGCCTCTGCAATCACGTCCAAAGCTGCCTAAATGGCTCAAAGCGTTTTCGCCAGGCATTTGCATGTGGGGCAGCCACAGTCTGAGGAGAGTAGAGTGCCAGCCAGAGATCTGAGGCCAACAATCGTAGCTGCCTGCCTAGCATGGCCTGGCCCGTACATGTAATAAACGTATGTAATAATAATGAATTTTAATGTCGCGCATTAACAATTCTTGCATTTTAATTGGTCCACCCAAACGATGGGGGGAACGCTGTTCCGATCGGATCTGATCTCTCTGTGTGGGTTTGCATAAATTGTTGCTGTTGATATGATTTAGTGACATGGAACAATGCACTGGAATTTATTGCAGAAAAGCACACTCTGCACCGCACCGCACCGCTCCTCTCCACCTCTCTCCACCCAATGCATTTAAGCGGATTATGTCAGGGGTTCGCTTGTAAATAAATTTTCAACTGTAATTTGTCAGCAAACATGACAAAATCGGTCAACTCATTCCCCCGCACCACACTCTGTTTTTGTTTATGCCATTTCGAATGTTCAGAAAATGTTAATTAATGCACAAATCATATTCAAATATTTCCCCCAGGCCCCCCTCGAAGGCGTGTTGCCGGGCCATCGATAAGCGGTGGGCGTTTCCCAGAGTGGGTGTGGCAGCGGTGCAGACAAAGTGGATCCCCAAGTGGAGGCCGCTTCCATTAGGGAATCTGTTCAATCAATGTCGGCAATAAACAAATTTTTTATTGCCTCCCATTGGAGAGAGGGAAAAGAGAGCCACGAAGATGGGCAGGAGGGAGTCTGCACTGCAGTGGAGGAGAAACTGGCGAATTACGAATGGGGCTTACCTTTGGCTTGCACTGCAGTAAAGATATTCCGATTATGCATATAAATCTCAGCTAAATGTTCACATTTCTTGGTGATATTTCTCTGAAATTCTTACTTCACTGTAGCGCATTCGGACAGCAGGCAGACGGCAGCAGCTCCCTGGATGATGCCTTTACCTTCAGCTTCCTTCTGGCTGGGCCATAACCGTTTTTTATATGCGATGGCGCTACAAGCAATGGGTGGATCTTCATTAGCGCTGAAATGGCTTTCCAATTTGTAGCCATTGGCATAACTTACGAGCGGCAGCACCTTGCGGCACCGCCAGCGATGTCCGCTCCACATCCGACCACCGGGGCAGGGTACCACTTCCACTTACCCTATCCCTACCCCTACCCCTTTCCCGGCCAGTTGCAATCTGCAATCGAATTATGGATGGGAGAGAGCTGTGAGTGCTCTGTGTGGATCGGTCTGGTTGGACCTGGTTTATGAAGTCGTAAAGAGCAGAGACGAGACGAGACGAGCCGAGACTGCGCTGATGTCCCCTCTTCGGGTCGGGTCGGGGCTAGGGCTATTATCCGGCGGCGGCAAGTGCGGCAGGGGCAGGGGCAGGGGCAGTGGCAGAGTCAGCAGCAGCAGCATCTGTCACATGCAATTAGAAGTGCGCACCACACACTAATTAACTACAAGGCACCGCCCTGTGGCAGTCTCACCTTTTGAAGTAAGCAAATGCTGGAGGGGGGCAGGCAGGGAGCAAAGCTTTAAGCATCCTTATAATGTCGCAGCGCCACTCGAGGGACCCCAGTGGCAACGGCACAGCAGTTTGTCAACAGGAGACACACGAAATGAAAAGAAATTGCCACTGTCTGATGCTGCCTGCCCCTCGCCCCCTGCCCCATGACTCTGCCACAGCCAGAGAGAGCCTCTGACTCTTTTGCTGCGAGGCGTAAAAAACAAACCAGCAACAACAAAAAATAAGCACAGAAAAAAATAAGAGGAAAAAAACGCAGAGAAAAGGATGAAAAAATAACACGCAAGGAAAAAGAAATGCCAAGGAAAAGCAGCCATCTGCACGAATTGTAATTGAAAAGATTTCCCTTGAAGGAATAACACGAGCGTGGCACGGCGTGGCGTGGCGTGGCGCGGATCCCTACCAGGTCCTGCCGCCGCCCCAGGATCCGCCAGGACAGGACAGGACAGGATAGGACTGAACAGAAGAGGTCTTGTCTGGCTGGCTGGCTGGGTGGGGCGTAGCAAATTTAATAAGGAAACCCCGGCGAGTCCATATTGCACTTTGTGTGAAAAATAATAGTTTCGTAGGCGGACTGGATTGGCCGCCGCGGCAACGGATGCAGTCCGGATGGAGCAGGTGTGGGCGGGCGTCAAATAAATTTATTAACTGGAAAATATTTAGCACAGCCCTCAAATATGCGGCATAATGGGGAAATATTCGTGAGCCCCAGCCAAATGGAATTTAACATTCAGTTTAAAGGCATTCTCATTGGATCCGTATCTGCCCTTCCTTCGCATTGCCATTCCATTCTGTGTGTGTCTCTCTCTCTCTCGGCTTCTCGGCGTTTCTCTGCGGTTTGCAAATGTGGCAAATGGCAATGGGAAATAGCAAATGGCAAATGGAAGTGCTGAGGCATTTTTTAATGAAATCCCTGAAACGGAGACAGCCACCAGGACTCACGGATGAGCTACAGATGAAATGGACCAAGGCAGAGGTGGAGGTGGAGCAGCTGCTGCCTGCAATCTGCCTGCCGTAGGGCATCTCGCAGCAAGAAGAGGGCATCTCGTTCTCGGCTTTCTGGTGACTGTACTTTTATTTCGACTTTTTGCTTGGTTTTGGCTCCTTTCCCCCATGTCCCCATGGAGCAGCTTTCTGGCCGAAAGGAACTTCTTCTGGTTGGTTTGGCTGCCGCGTCTGCGGCATTTCCATTTAGCATTTCGCGTCTGGTGAGGCGGCACAGGCCCGGGCCCGGGCACAGTCACACAAAAGGGTCAACAGCGGCAGCAGGAAACCCCCGAGGAGTCGCCAATGAACTCAGGTGGCAAATTAAAGTATTAAAATAATTACTTGGGGCAGCGGTTCGGGTTCGGGTTTGGGTTTGGGACACACAGACAATGCAATTATGTGCAGCAAATTGAGGCGCGGTCCATGAGGCATGAGGCCCCTCGGGGTGTGACCTCTCCACTCACTCATTAACCCCTCTCAATGAATGAATGCCTTTCTTCTTCGATGCCATAATGAGAGTATCAACAATCGATATCCCAATCAATGACAACCGCACAATCGATCAGTAGCAACTGTGGCCGTAACCAGAGCCCGAACAACACCAACAACACCAGCAAAGTGAGCATTGATCGACGCCGAGTCCCGTCCCTGGGTCCTTTGTGAGGGGTGAACGTCAGCAGGGGTGCAACCCCTCACAGTTTTTTCTATGTATATTTTTTTTCGTATTTTATGTTCAACCTTTGTTATCCCATTGTTCGCCCCCCCCCCCAGGGTGGAGTAGAAAAAGGTTAATAGGCTTACTTTTTTGTCGTCCGTCCACTCACTTTCGACTTTTATTTATTGTGAAATTTGCTCAAGCACTTGAATCTGACAATTTTCGTGGCATCTCATTCGAATTCTGCTTTATTGACTCTTGACGGTACCGTCAAAATCCCATTTGTATGTCAATAAATTTGCAAAAACAAAAAAAAAACACAAAAAGCAGGGAAACTGTTTTCTGTTGTCTGTTGGCTGTTGCCTGTTGCCGAGCTGTTGCTGCTGCCTGTTGCCTGGATTTCGGATCTGTTTGATTGATGTTCCCTCATCAGACGGCAACGAGTAAGAGATTAATGCGGTTTTAAGTTAGTGGAAAGTTTTGATAGATGCTGATGAAGTTGTTGTCTGTCTGCGGGAACGAATTCGACTGGAAAATTTCACCATAATTGTTGGGATAGTTAATGATTCCCCTGGTCCATTAATCAGATGAATTTTGGATAAATAAATGAGGTCTGTAGAGTGGGGGAAACAACAACTTTTTAGTGGGCGTAGTAAATTAAGTAGATTAAGTAAAAGTATCAAGGTAATTAAGCTTGAACTACCAAGAGAAACTTTGATTTCGCCAATGTGCATCAAATGTGGACCTGTGCATATCCAATCTAATCATTAAGAGACATTCTTATGTACTAAATCCAGTATAACAATGTGCCTTGACTTATTCACATATTTATTGCATAATTCAAATGGTCACCAGGGCTAGAGACTACTGTAGTTATGGTACAGCTCCAAGCTCCACTGCTGTACAATAACAAACGATGACGAATCTAAGCTACTATGAGCTGACTTCAAGATAAGAGCAGGTAGTGGGGCGAGAGAACTAAGATAAGAGCACAATGTGAGGCCGCAGTGGACACGAGAGAACCTGTGCTGAGTGCTGATCGCTCTTTCAGCAGAATTTGGAAGCTTAGAGGGCACGTGAACATCAAAACTCTCTCTCGCTTATCCTATTTGTGATCTCTCCTCTTCAAACTAAAAGCCTCAAAGTAACAGCTTTTTATTGCCTCTCTTCAATGATCCTGACTTGCCTGGAGTGCGCTCTTCTGCCCTATCTGATATCTCTACATAATTCCATTCAGTCAAATTATGTTCCCCCTAAGCCCTAAGAATACCACTCGACAAACTCATGCATGAAAATCAGTTCTAGTTTTTTTTTTGAGTTTTTTGTTTTTTTCATTGGACATTTCGTTGAGTCAAAATTTATAACACTAAATGCAACCGACAGCTTGTCAGTGGCAATGCGCTTTTGAGCCAACAAGCAACAAAGAAAAATCCATTTACATTAAAATTTATAGAGCATAAAGCGGGCGCTTTTTTATTTTAATTTCATTTCATTTTCAGGGAGCAGCACCCCAAAAGCAGCACACATAAAAAATAAACAAAAAAATTGTTACAGTTTGACTATAAAATTACAAATTTTTTGCTTCATTTTTTTTTCTGTATTTTTTTTTGGGTCCTTCATTGTTGAAAGAGAATATGTCAGCATGTGATTCCAAAGAGCAAAAAATACAAAAAAAAAAAACACAGAACAGAACATTTTTAATAAAAACTCACCGGAAATTATGTGCGTAACGAGGATGCTGAATGGAGGGGGGGCAAAAAGCGCAGAAGGAAACCCAATTCCGGCAGCATATAACACTCGCTTTGACTGTATGTATACTCAACCGTATAGACCAGACCATAATACGCAACACAATATTGTTGTCAGGGAGCGCGTTTTTTTTCGGCATTTTCTGTTGTTTTTTTTGTATCTTTTGGCTGTGTCGCTCTCGCGCTGCCACACTATTTTAATTTTTCCGCGTCGCTTTCTGTGTGGCACGAACAATTGAATTATTTTTGTACGTGGCATCAGCGAGGCGAGGGGTGGTCCATTGCCCATTAGCAGAGTGCCACCCCACGATCATCAGCATATCCCAGTTAGGGCACTCCTCATCAACGCCTCAACGAAAACCTACAAAAAAAATCATAAAAAAAAAATAAGCTAGAAAAAATTTGTAGCAAAAGTTGTACGGCGACGTGACTGCTGGGAAGTTTCTGTTCTCGTTTTTTTTTTTTAGCATTTTATTATAATATTCTTTTTTTTTTTTTTTTTGGTACAAATTTTTAGACGACTTGATTGGAATGTCAGATAAAGTCAAATGGATTTCAGCGTAAATTAAGTTGCTCGAAAAATGGAGAACTGCGGCCCCCACCCCCCGTCCTGCGCACAGCTGCCACAGAGGAAGTTTGGCTTGAGATGGAAAAAAGTTTCCCTGGACTTTAGGGGCGAATGCTGAGAATGTGTATGGTATGGCAAATATATGTATGTAACTGCTAGGAAAATTAAAAAATGAACAAATTGTATGGGTCGGGTACGTAGAATGTTCAGAGGTAAAGAAACTTTCGATTAATTTCCAAAATGAAAATTGTGAAGGCCAACAGGAAACATCAGATATGCACGGAATAAGACAACAACCTCAATATATATTTCCCACAAAAATCTATTGATAGAATATATGTTCTCCGGACTCAGCCTATATAATTGATAATTACTAAGGGATCCTTTAAATTTCCCAACGGAAAATGGAACAACAGAAAACGTCTCCTCCTGATGCTGGGATCATTTTTAGTAATATTTCACCCAATGCGAGTATTTGTATATTCCCATAGAAAAGGGCTAAGCGTAAATGATATGGAACCGGTTAAACCAGTTTCCTCAACGAAATATTGTGGTATTTTTTATGAAAATATTTGAACCATTTGAAATATAAATATCCAGAGAGCGGAGGGAATGCATATAAATTAGATCCGCGATTGGACTGGGACTGGGACTGGGATTGTGATTGGGATTGGAACTGGGATGCAGCTGGCACAAGCTTGCCAGCGAAAATTACAGACAAGTTTCGGGTAAATTCAGGTAAAAATTCAATTAAAATTGGGTGGAAATAGGGTAAGCGAAAGGGTTCGGCGGGTCTAGCATGAAAAGACGAGCCGCAGCATCCTTGGCCCGATCCTGGACCCTCACAATCACCGAACACCGAACAGAGAGAATACACAAAACGATGATCGCCACATTGTGAGAACACAATCATCAGTCTCCATTCTTCCATTCAGAATTCATTATCCATCCACATTCATCTTTCACCCTTTGAGGGAAATGCGTTGACAAAATTGTTGCCTTGCCTCAGTTTCTATTCTAATGCCGCATTATCCTGGCTGTGTTCCGTTCGCGTTCGGGATTGTGTCCTGTGAAGTGACATTCCATCTAATTTGAATATTGCCGCCGTTGTTTCCCACGATTTATGTTTATGATTTGCCTTCGAACCTCCGTCGTTTCTTGCTCTGACAGACCGCTTCTTCTCTTCTCTTCTCCTTCTTCTTCGGGTCTTGACACTCGACAATCCTTAACCCTGATATGCTAATGCAGTAGCCATAAATTCGTGTCGCTCCGTGCCCTAGCTTGGCTACAGGTTTGCCTTACTTTTTCCTGCCATTGCGACGATCCCCTTCAGTCATATTCGAAGAGCGAGTCCTTTTGTTTGGGCCCCGTAATTGTTGTAGAAATTATTTACACATTTTTAATTGGCATTCAAGTGGTTGTCGGGCACCGCCTGCTGTTGCCAAATCGTTCAATTACAGCGGGATGGCAAGATCTTCGAGGCAAGGCCTCCTCTCCACCCCCCGACACTTTTGACCTAGTCCATCGCTCTCTAGGCATACCGATTGAATTTCCCCATCATTTCTTGTGCCGTTTTGGGTGGTCTGGGAGCCCGGAGGCAACGCAGAGTATCAGTTGCTTTGCTGACTCGAAAAAAAGCTGTAAAAATGTGGGGAAAAAAAAGTAATTATGCCGACTAAGAGCTTCATCAGACATCCCATTATGCGGCCTGCACTCGACAAGCGGCACAAACACACACACATGCACATGCACCCAGCGGGAACAAAGGCTGGGCGGACTACCTTTGTACAGTCCTGGCTCTGCCCCCTGCCGCACCGCTACACTCGCCTCCCCACCTACATCAGCGTCATCATAAATGTTTGCATATGAAGTGCAGAACAGCACAGAACAGAACCGAGCAGAGAGGCATGCGACTGCAGCAGCAGCAGCAGTAGCGGCAATAGCAGCGGTGGGTGTGGCATCCACTTGAGTTGAGGCATTGAAAAGGAGAGAAAAAACCTTGCGTTGGGATTAAAAATGCAGCGCATTGAATTTGCACAGAACTCTTACCGGGCAACCCCCAACCGCCCCGTCTCAGAACAGAGCAGAACAGAACAGAACAGAGCCACCACCCACTTGGTTGAGGCCTGCCTCCATTTGCAACAAATAATGATGCACTTGAAAAACTCTTTCGCGCATGTGTGTGTGTGTGTGTGCAACAACAGAGCGGCACAAGTTGCACAACACAAAAAAAAAAGTATATCATTAAAAGCAGCCCCTGCTCTTCCAGTTCCACTTCCACCTGCAGCAGCAGCACCACCCAGCAGCATCCCCTGCAGGATTCTGGCAACGCTTTATTAGAGCCAAAGAAGGTGGCCGCCTCCTCCGTCTCCTGCTCAGATCCTTGCCGACATCCATGCCATTAATATTTCATTTAACGCTGCAATTGTCCCAAGAGCCATGCCATATCCCTCAATACCACACCCCCTCGCCCCGCAACGCCCCGCCCCACCCTAAATAGCCTTAAAATGTTTAATTCATTTTATGGGATTTCATTCAGCACGAGTTTTAATTATGAGCAGAGCGAGCCCCGCAATGAAGGCGCCTCGAGTGTATATAGTCGCTGCAGCCACAGAGGGGGCAGGGCGCTGGCCCACTGGGGGAGATGGTTGGGTGTAGGGGTGTAGGGGTGTGTAGCTGGGAGTGGGTGCCATGAGCCCTGTGACTGCCCGTCAACTGACTTGTGTAATTTGTGCATAAGTTTCATTTACTTTGGGGGCGACATAATCTTCAGTTGCTTGCTCTGCCCCACGGCTAATGCCAGCTACAGCTACAGCTCCAACTCCAGATCCTGTTCCTGTTCAGCTCCAGAGCTCTACCCACAGTTCCCCACCAGCCCATGCCCTAGCATAAAAATTGTCTCAATGGCCTTGCCCAGTCTGGTCGGATTTGGCTCGTTTTGACTCGTTTTGGCTTGGCTTGGCTTGGCTCCTTCTGTGATTATGCACTTGATGTGATGTGCATGGAGCTGAATTTTAATTACGAGTAAATATTTAAACCATTAAGCATGAAAAGTAAGCTACGAGTAAGGCAGAGTGCTGGCTGCTGCCTGTCCAAGAATGTCCACTGAATGTTGCCTGGGCTCCCCACCGTTCGCCGTCGTGCGGTTAAAGTCTAGAATGATGTGGAATCACTGATGTTGAGTGATGTGGCACTCAGTGCAAGGAATTGCTTTAACGAATTAATTTTCAAGACTCAATACAATATTTTCCCCACCCAACCGCATTATATGCACGTCTCAAATGTTCAATTAAAACTCAACTCAAATTGAAATAATTTATAGACATTTTTTGAAACTTTTCCTACCATAAATTTTCCATTGATTTTATGTTGATATTTTTCTCTGATTAATTTGCCCAACAACGGGGCAAAAATATTTTATTAATTGTTGAGCTTTTGTGGGCGGTTGGGGGGGTTTGCTCAATTAAAAGTTTCAACCATTCGACCAGCCAGCCAGCCAGTATGAGTGTCGATAACAGTGGCGCTCAGAAGTGTGTGTACACGGTAATCAATGCAAATAAAGGAGAATCAGTCATCAATTGCTGTTTTAATGAAAGCCAGCAAATAAAAAAAAAACAAAAAAATACAATAAAAAAATTGTTAATAAAAACAGCAAGCAAGCAGCAGGAAAACTTTGCCAGCAAAGCCATAAAAAAGATGGCGGAATTTGTAAATGGGGAAAAAATAATTTCATTTCGAGTGGCGGAATGGAGTGGGCAAAGGACCTCTAACAATCGGCCAGGACTGTGCTTGTTGTTGTTCTTGTTCTTGTTGTTTGTTAGCTGTTTGCCGGCTGTGCCTGCTGCCTGCTGATTATGTGTATTTGCATGCTAAAGCAGTTGTCCTGCGGTCCGCCGGCCTGCTTCTCCCTGCTTGGAGTGTGTCGCCTCTTGGCCAGTAATGGCCAAAACGAATTCCCACTCACCCACCCACTCACCCGTCACCCGCCACCCGCCACCCTCTTGTCTACGCTCTGTTAACGTAATTTCCATAAAACATTTTGTTACTTATTTATCTTAATTAAAATAAATTTACATTTTTCTAATTTAAGAGCGCGACGGCAGCAGCGGCAGCAGCAGCAGCAGCAGCAACATCAACGACAGCGACAACGACAACGGCGACGACGACTAGTCAGTCGTGGCACTCATGCCCATTCCCATTCCCCCATTCCCCTCGTCCACCCACATCCTTGGCGAGCCTCAGCCGAGCCAGCCAGCCACTCCTTGTCCTGGGCATTAGAGAGCGACATTTTCTTAACAAGCCAAAAGGACATTTGCTGTCCCGCAGGAGAAGGCAAAGAAGGGCCAGGCCAGGCCAGGCCAGGCCAGTCCATCGCACAAAGCTTCAAAATGAAACACAACAAGAGGAAAAAGCGAAACAACAAAAAAAATGCTGGAAAAACTCAACGTAATGGAAAGTTGCCTGCGCTCTCCGCTTGGATCTCATTAGCGTTGGTTGCCACGGGGGCCAGTCAGTGTCTGCAACAACCAGGGACAGGGGACAGGGGACAGCGGACAGCGGACAAGGAACTGCGACTGCGACTCGACCATCGCCATCTTACGAGACATCCATGGGATGGCAGGAGGAAGAGCATAAAATTAAAAGCTGATGAGCACAAATGCTGGGCGAAATAAAAAGATTTCTTCACGTATTTGCGTAGTTCGTTTTTCCCTGAACATTTTTTGTTTCTCCTCTCCCTTCTTCTCTTTCGCGGCCAATCCCGAAACGAGCGGAACGGAAAATGTTTGGAGCTGGAAAATGCGACAGGAAATATGAGCAGCAAATGGAGTGGATGGAAAAGCACGACAGATTCGATAAAAACTAATGATGGACTGATAATGGGAATATGCGCACTGCTTCCCCAGTGGCAGTGGATGTGGATGTCGAAGTGATTGGTAAAGCTAAAACAAAAGTATTTTAATTCATAATTAAAATGAAAGAATTTTTGATTTATATTTGGATTAAAAAAATAAAATAAAATAAATAAATAAATCCTTACAACCCCCTTCCATCACGCATACAACTAAGTACAGTTGCCCTTGCTGGCGACTAATCATTGGCTCATGCCATTAGCCGCCTTGTTAGTCCTGTACAGTGTGTCCACATTCTGTGCATAAATAAAGCAAATCGGCAATAAATCAAAAATCAATACCGTCAACGCCATTTTACATTGGCAGTGTGGTGGGGTGGGGTGTGGGGTGTAGTTGTGTAGGAAAAACGTCAACTGAAACCAATACAAAGGCCATAAATAAATCTGTGTGAGCCTGAGCATCTCTCTCTCTCGCTCTCGCTCTGTCTCTCTGTCACACTTTCTATTACGCTCTCTTTCTGACAAGAAATGTTAGAAAAGAAACAGGCGGCGGCGGCGGCGGCGGCAGCAGCAGCCGTAGAAGAAACAGCGCAAAAACAGGGCATAAAAAAAAAAGAGAAATAAAAACAGCATCCACCCCCCAGCCAGTGTCCCGTACAAGGGGGAGGAGTCTGTCCCACCAAACGAGAAGAAGAAAATGGGAATGGGAATGAAATGGGCAGAACAAAAATGGAAAATAAAAAATAAATTCAAAGCAAACGAGACTAAAATTATAAAAATTGCCCTCCCGGTGGTGCCTGTCGAGAGTGCGCTTCCACTGAAAAATCCCTTCCTCCTCCTCCTCCTCCTCCACTGCCGCCTGGCCCTGCATCCTGACGACGATGATGATGATGATGGTGATGAGGACAAGGACCAGGACCAGGACCAGGACGAAACGAACGCGATTCCAATACGGGACATCAACGTCAATGAGGGTGGCTGTGCCCGGGTCCGGCTATGGCTATGGCTACGACTCCCTTGCCACTGCCACTGCCACTGCTCCTGGCACTGTTTCTCGGGGGTGGCACTCGTACATAATGTGGCCCCTGCACTGCCGTTGGCCTTCCCTGTTTTGCTCTGTTCTGTTCTGTTCTGCTCTGGCCTTGCTCTGCTCTGCTCTGCTCTGCTCTGTGAAGCTCTTCTATATATGTATGCAGGGAGCCATTATTATGTACATAGTGAACAGGACTCGTTCATGCTGCTGCTCCTTCTTCTACTTGTGTATACATATAGCCCTGGCCCGCAGCGTCAATGGACCAAAATAATAACGACTAACGGCCTGTTAAGGCAAAATGCAACGAGCCAGAGAGTAGAGGAGTTCTCCGGATGGGCTGGATGGGTGGGGGGTGTGCTGGGGTGGCCAAGGTTTTTTAAGTGGTCGCGCGTGACGTGCACATCGGAGTCCTAGGGGGGTGGAGAGGGGCCACGGCTCTGCTGCTCCTGCTGACGTGGTATTTGCCAGCTCCGTTTCTCCTCTCCGCACCGCTTCGATCGGTGGAGTTTTTTTTCGTACCCACTCCCACTCCCCATCCCCTATCCGCCTCCCACTCCTCTTCTATTTGTACACAAAACTCTTGTTACTAGCTGCCATTATGATTTTGAAAAGCCATTGCCATTCCTGCCACACCGCACCGCACCGCACCACACACCACCACCACCCCCTGCCAGCCCACGCTCTTCTCCAACCGAATCTCCTCCTGTGTTTGCCTTCATTTTGGCTCATTGAAAAACTGTGAAATTTTATAATAAGCATTTTCTCTCTTTTTTTTTTATGCTTTTTCATGTTTTTTTTTCTCGTTTCTTTTTTGGTTGTTGCTGGCTGCCAGATTATTGTCGATGATTGTGATTGCGTTTTATGTTGTTCCTTTTATTACCAGGTCGCTTGGGGGAAGGCCAATGGAGCACCGCCACATGGATGCAGATGGGGTAGGGGATGGGGATGCTGATGGGGGGGAGGTCCTTTGCATAACAGTTTTTTGTTGATTTCGCCGTTGATTTTTATGTGTTTTTTTTTTCGTTTGATTTTTTTGTTTTGTTTGTGATGTAATATTCCTTTTGAAAAAAACCTGAAGTTTGGCCTCACATTTTCTGTACGTGTTTCTCTCTCTCTCTCTCTCCTGCTCTCTCCTGCTCTCTCTCCTGCTCTCTCTGTCTTTCTCTCTGGGTTCTGCCTGGGATTTGCACTCGGCATTTGTGCTCGGCCAGGCGCTATTGGTTTCCATTTAAGCTTATTAATTTTAAATGCGATTTTTAATTAAATATTATCAAAGCGTGTCGAGGGCATCATTAAGTTCGAATGCTTCAGAAATAAAGAGCAGTGTCGGCAAGGGAAGCAAATCTATATCTATATAGCTATAAGGGAATAATAATTTTAGTTTCAGTTTCAATTATCACTGTAGGTTGTCCTCAACAAGGCAAAGAACTGATACGACATGCTGATGACCTAAACAAAACCAGAAAAATCAGTTAATGAAATTATAGCTCTACCCCCCCAACTACAACCTCACCTTCATGTAGGTAACCAATGATATTGGGGGAAATGTCGGTGGTCTAATCGATGCGGGCTTCTGGCTACGCATGATCAGCATCTTGAGCATTTGGCAGTAGGTTTTGCCGCACTGAAACCACTTCTGATTGTAGGCAGCATCGCCAACTTGCAAGCTCTGAAAAGTAGGCGGGCAAATGAGATACCCAACAGCTGAGAGTAGAAACCCTGCGCCTCCCCTTACCGTTGCAATCAAAGTGTCGCCGTAGTAGCAGACGAGAAACACTTGAACCATCGATGTCATCAGGAAAATGCAGTAGATGATGATCACCTCCACGGTGGATTCGGTGACCTGAAAGGCAATGAAGCAGATCTGCATGGAGGCCATCAGGAAGTTCAGCAGCAGCGAGAAGTTGTACAGGCTGTTCACATGCTCGCAGAGGCTGCAGGGCGAGAGAGTTTATACTGCGTGAGGGAACGACAGACGAAGGACCCACTCACATGAGGCACTTGTCGTGGTAGCGAATGATCCAGACCAGAAACTCTACGTTCTCCTTGTCCCTGCCGGGCTCGCACGGGTGCTCCTCCAGCCGCATCGAAATGTAGCTGAAGTGCATGCAGATCTGGGTGATGACCACAATCAGCAGCAGATCCGCACAGAGGAAGGCGATGCCGGCCAGATACGCGCCGTGGGCTATAATCCAGTAGACGATCCAGTAGACCAAATTGCTGCTCGTCGCGTCGAAGGGGAACCAAATGAGGAAGCCAAAGTTGCGGTCAAAGGTCTCGTAGCCGAGAAAATTGAACTTCACCGAGGCCTTGAGGGCCGGATAGAACGAGAAGGTGGTGGTGTAGGCCAGGCACAGGAACGTGAAGATGTTGATCACCCGCTTCATGGTGCGCTCAAAGTCGGCCATCCTGTAGGCGCGCTGCCGCTCCAGCGTCTTTGGGTGCATCTCCTCCAGCTCGTCGAGCAGCTTGATCAGCGTTTGCTTGTAGTAAACCATCGCCAGCTGCTTGAAGTCGGCCACCAGGGAGAAGCCAATGCAGGGAGCCACCGCAATGGCCAGCCGAATGGTCTCAAAGTCCTGTATCGACTTGTAGAAGAAGACCAGCTCCCCAATCACCAGCAGATTGAAGTTAATGAAGCCCGCATACAGGTAGATATGCAGCAGCAGCGACCGCCACGGACTGGTCGATCGATGGGCGTAGATGTCCTCGCCAATGCTCCGATAGAACTGAACTGGCACCCGCATCATGTCCTCAAAGGTTCGAGCTATGTCCATCTCCATCTCCGACTCCGTATCCTTCTGCACTTGGCTGTCCATTTGTCTTTTTTCGGTTAGCTTTTCCACTAAATGTTGGTCAGGAACTAGTTTGCGGTTGCGGCCTGTCGCTTCCATTTATATGGCTGGACTTTTGGGGGCGTGTCTGTTAAGTTTTTGTGCCCCATCATGCGGCACCTCGCAGAGTGTTGATAATTCTGCGTAAACTTTTCAACTGCCAATGTAATTAGCTGTCAACTTTTAACTCTCGGCCGGCAGCTGAGTGGGTTCCCAGGCAGGACAGGGCAGGCCAGGACAGGACAGGGCAGGGAGTTTGGAGGCGACCTTCACCGGGCGCTAATCAACGTGCAATTGCAACAAAAGATGTCTGTGTCGGAAAAGGTGTGAAAACTCGATTGGCCAAAGGACGAAGGACCAAGGACATTCGGGAGCCCATAATGAATGTGTTGAATGAAATGAAAATAATTTTTCTTGTTATCCTGCCGCCCAGCGAACACAAATTGAGCGGAAAATAACTAATAAAGTCGGACGTGGACCAGGGCCATGAATAAAATGCAAGACTCGACGGCATTTGGCCAAGATTATGCTGGGGCATGGGTAGGGGAGTGAAGTAAAGTGGGGCCAGCGTCATGTCCGGATCGGAGGCAGCCATCCATGGTCCATTAGGGTGGGGAGGGGGTGGTAGGACGACGACGAGTAAGGAAGCCAAACAAGGAGGAATCCTTCTCGGGGCACGTGCAAAATGGCAGCTCAAATTGAAACGCTGCTGCTGCTGGTTCTGCTGCTGCTGTTGATGCTGCCACAATGGGTAATTTTCATTTCAATTTTCACAGTTTTCCCCCCCCCAAGTCTCGGTCCTCCCTCCCCACAACGGTCTGACAATTTTTTGCTCATTTGCAGCTTGCATTTGAGAATTGAACTTGTGCCCGAAGCGAATGCGATGTGCGGGATGCGAATGCGAATGCGGATGGATGATGGTGAAGAATCTTCTATGGGGGTTCGGTTGGGGCTTTTTGTTCTTTGCCCACTGGCAACTTTTTGCCCCGCAGCTGCGGCATGCGGCATGCGACGGGCAGGAAAAAGTTTTTGGAAATGTAGAAAATGTTTGCAACATATTGAAAACTCTTTGGCATTTCTCAGCGGAGGGAGTTCGCACAGCGCCTGCACAAATTAAATTAAGTTGAAAATAATCAAGATATCCACAGGTCCGCAGGTCCGCAGGCATTTCAATAAATTAATATTTTACAGATCCGTTTGGGTCGCAAATAACAACAATAACAAATCAAATTGCTAAAATTATATGTATATGAATATTTGAGTATAAATTTTAACTTGAATTTAAATTTAGATATAAAATCCATCAATTCATTATTATTGAATTTGGAACAGGCAAGAAATAAGATGGGATCTCTCTTTCCTACACTTCGCATGTTGCTCCATGTCTTATCCCACTTCAAATTTCATTTATTTCCCCGTTCGATTGCAACTTTTCAATTAATTAGCACAGCTGTCAGGATGGCTAATACATAGGACGGCAATTCCCGTCCTGTGCCGCGGGGCCTGTTCAATGTTCCTCTCACTCCAAGTCCTACGAGTATTTCCCCTGCGATTCGCTCTTGAGTTGCGCTCGCTCCCTTTTTCCGAGTGAGTTCTTTCGGCAGGGGTAACATTTGAGCATCGCTCCGCAGGGGCAACCATTGAGCCACAACTCATGCGATATTATGCTTTGCTACGTTTTGCTATGTTCTCATCGCATGCGACAAGCAGCCACCCCTTGGCTGGGGCTGCGTGTGCGTATGCGTGTGGCTTCCATTCGATGTTATTTCTCCTGCGGCTCGGCACAGACTGTTCTCACTTGAGCTGTGTCTGTGCTAAGGCGGTGGGAACAGTTCACAGCTGCACACAGATGGCGCTCGTGTGCAAAAGGTTCAAAGGATATGCCTGGATATTTCAATGTTTTCTATTTTTCTATGTTATTTTCTATTTTATTTGTTAGATTCTTCACGCGACACACACCAGAGGTCGCTTTTACAAGTTTTCGGCTTTTAGTTTTATTTTATTTATTTAACCTAAAATTATTCACTATTTTCTGGCTGATTTAGGCAGGTCCTGCAGCCGCTCCACCCCCTGCCCGTTTGCGACTCTACCCCTTTACCCGACCCCTTTGCTGTTTCCCTCTACTATTTCCATTTCTTTGCAATTTTTGTGTGTGTTTTATTTTTTTTGTTGCTGGCTGCACTTTGAAGAGCTGCACTTAAGCGCAGATTTTAATTACTTTCCGGCCGACTGGCAACGGAAGGCGCACACACACACACACACACACTCGCGCACACAAAGATGCCCCAAGAAGGGTTGCAAGAGTGAGAGTGGCTTGGGTTTTTGCAACATTTAGAGAATGCATTTATCTGACGGACAGGCCCAGGGACACGCAGGGAATCTGAAAGGCTGTGGCTGTGGCTATGGCTAACAGGGGGAGGGCTGGGGGTGGGGTTGCCGGGCTGGCATCTGAATTAGCCGCTTGCTTTTGTCGCAAAGGAAAGAAGAGTCGGAGACGACGTCCGCCTCAAGTGCAGGGCATTATGTATTCATGGCAAAAGAAAATCATCAGCCAACAAAGAGGACTCGCATGGGCCCCGTATCTCCCCCCCTCCCCAACCATTAGATGTGGCAAAGAAAAAGAAATGCTGGGCAAGTGCACTTAGCAGCTTGTAGACGCCGCAGTTGACATTGCCACACAACACACACACACACACAACATACACACACGTGTGTGTGTGTGTCTGCCACTCGGTGTATGTGCCTGCCACTTGGGGGTTGTTTTCTTTAAGCCATAAAAAATTCGCACATGAGCAAGAAACGCATACAGAGACGAGACAATGGCGCTGCCGCTGCTGGCACGAACAGCACGACAGAGTGAGTGAGAGGGAAAGAGGGAGGGAGATGGCAAGCGTAAGAGGGCTGGCCCAAAGTGGTGGCTCCACCGCTTGCAACCCTGCCACTGCCACTGCTGCTGCCCCTGCTGTGGCTGCTGTTGCTGCAATTTTCAAATGGCCTAAACGCTCAAGGCGCAACAACAGGCAACAGCAGCAGCGACATATCCATGTCCATGTCCATGTCCTGGCCTGGCCGCCTTTTGTTGCCGCCGACGCCCCCCCACACACACATGACACCCCTCAAGCTCGTCCTCGTCCTCGCCCACGTTTTCGCCTTCGCCCAAACATGCAACAAAGGAGCCAGGAACAGGCTCAAGTTAATGACTTGGCAACATGTTGAGATCGCCTGGCCCTGTCCCTGACCCCACCATTTGATGGGCAAATGGAAAAAGAAGTGCCAGAGTTCAACCTACAGATGGGTATGGCAACACGAACAGGGGGTGGGGGTGGGGGCAGATGGAATTGTATGGAGGCATGCACCTGCTCTGACTGCGTTTTATTGCATCCTGTGGCAACAACCAGAGGGAACACAGAACAATGCAGCCTTTGTCTAGGCCTGTCTAGGCGGTGCAGCTGTTCCAGCACATAAAAGATTCGAAGGATGGGATGGAGCAGCCGATCTTGATGGCTAATTGAGCTGGCGGACAGACGGGAAATTTGTCGCAAGTCCAAGTCGTAGCCAGGAGGATTGAGGATTGTTTACCATATCAGCAGCGCCAGAGACACGACAACATTCCCCAATTGTTCTGCGTTGCAGAGCTCCATCTCTGGCAGCAGCAGCAGCATCTCTGTGATTGTCCCCCCAATCTCTGACTGTTGACTGCCGACTGCTGACTGCCGACTGGCGGTCTCCCTGTCTCTGGGGGTGTCACGCATGCGCCGTTGTCACCCGTCTGAGCCACGTCAACACTTCGTCCGTTTTGCAGGCAGCCTGTGGCAGCCGCAGCCGCAGCCGCTGCCGCCGGTCGTTGACCATTTTTGGGCAAATAACTTGCTCAAGAAATCCCGTTATCGCGTTGCCGCACAGGGGAGCAGCAGAGAGGCGGAGAGGCGGAGAGTCGGCAGAGACAGGCTAAAGAGTTGTCATTCAGTTGTCTCTTTTTCTCTGTGGCTGGGACCACCGCTGGAGTCTGTGTCTCTGGCTCTGAGCCTCTGCAGATTGTGGCGTGTTGTCGTCTGCAAATTGTTCGCGTCGCTATTATCCAGGGGCATCAATCTCCCAAGAAATTGACAGGCCTGATCCACTGCCCTGCTCGCTGCTCCTCTTGCATCTTGGACTCTTTGTCAGCCTTTTTATGGCCAAGACGAAATTATTTACTCAGCAGCCACCGCCGCCACCGCCGCCGCAATTGTCAACACGGGAATTGGCCTGGCCAGAGCATTGAGATCTCCCTCTCCCCTCTCCAGCCCCTTCCTTTGCTGCTGCTGCTCCTCCCCCCTGGGTTTTATGGCAATTTGATTTGTTGGCAGTTTTTCTGTAAATTGCTGCCTCCTGTCTCGAGTCGCCTCGTTGCTTAATTTAATTTGTATTTCGGCCCCAACTCTGCACTCGAATTTATGGCTAGTTGGCAAGTCAGAGACGAATCATTTCTTGAGGCTTTTATTTTCCTTTTGGGCTCCGCTGATTGACGGTTTGGTTTTTTGGTTTTGGTTGCTTTTGCTGACTCGACTCATGGGAGGTGAGAGGTTTCTTAACAAGTGTCGGGCTTGACAGCGGAAGGACACCATCTGATTGGATGTAAATGATTGCGAACCGTGGGGAAGGGGGAGTTGGTTTGATTGTTGATTAAGTGCGATGATTGATACGTTTTGAAAGGGTTCTTTTGCATGGAAGCTTCTGTTGTTTGTCCCTTAAATAATCCCTTCTTTAAGCTCCACTTCTGCCAGAGAAAAACACACACAAAGAGAGACAGAGAGAGAGAGAGAGAGAGAGAGAGAGAGCTCTGGTTCATCAAGCAAACCCAACTTTAAGCTGATTTTGCGGTCATAACTACCCAAGCCCCTCAAGCCACAAGTCCCAGGCCCCAGGCCCCAGGCCCCACCAGCATCAATCCCCATAGCGGCAATGAAACAACAGCAATCCAACAACTTTTGCCATATCAATGCCAGAGAAAAAAATACAACAACGAAACAAAAAAAAAAACTGCACAAAAGTGAAGGAGAGCTGGAGAGCTGGAAAACCAAGCCAAGGCCCAGGCCCGGGCCCTGAGCCCAGAGCGCAGAGCAAAGGACTCGCGAAGCTGCGGGAATCGGGGCTGGCTGAGGGTCGAGTCCGTTCCATTGCAT